TTGTCTGTCAGTAATAACCTTGAATTCAAATGGATTAAATTCACTAATTGAAAGTGATAAGACTGCTGAATGGATTTATAAAAACAAGACCCAGCTATAACTTCCTAACAAACTTACTGGCTACATAGTGAGGCCACTTGGGCTACATGTGATCCTGTCTCAAAAAAACAAACAAAAAGCCCTACCAAACAAATGAAAGGAAGGCTGGGCCTGGTGGTGCATGCCTTTAATCCCAGCACTTGGGAGACAGAGGCATTCAGATATCTGTGAGATTGAGGCCAGGCTGGGCTACACAGTGAGACCCTGGTTTAAAAAAAAAAACAAGGGACTGGAGAGATGTCTCAGCAGTTAAGAACACTGGCTGTTCTTGCAGAAGACCCAGGTTCAAATCCCAGCACCCACATGACAGCTAACAACTGTTCATAATTCCAGTCCCAGGGAATCCAACAGCCTCTTCTGACCTTCTGACCTTCGCAGGTATTGCACGACATCGGTGGACTTACCTACATGCAGGCGATACATAAAATAAAAAAATAAAAATAAAAAAAACAAGAAGGGGGGAGGGAGAGGGAGGAGGGAAGGAAGGAACTCAATTCACTGTCAAGGACACAACTAAAAGTGAAGGGATTCAGAAAATATCCTATGCCCTGCACTCCATCGGGACCCTGCGTCTTTCCGGGGTGCCTGCCTTCTCAGCCACTCCAGTTGAAGCGTAATTACTTTTTCTATGTTACGGTCTCTCTTTATTGGAGCAGGGCAAGCAATAGGAAACTTTGGCCACTTGCTCACCTCATTCCCCTGAAATACTATGTATTTTTGGTGCTCAAGTTGTTACATATAACATGGGGGCACCTTTAGTCCTGCTTCTGTATTCTTTAGACATGTCCCCATCAGTCCTTGAGCAGACCAGGATATGATGTTCAAAATGTAGTCTGAACTTTCCCTGCCTTGGGACCAGTCACTTTCCTATGGAACCCTTATGTCTTTTAATGGAGAATGACATTCAGAATCACATATGGACTTTCGGTGTGCCCACTGCTATGTCAGTGTTGGGGCTAGGCTTTCCTAGGGGAAGAGTTTACAGATGTACGCATGTATATATATATATATATCATACATATGCATGTTACACACACCTATGTATATTTTGATATTTGTATTGAAAAAAAAACACATTAGGGGCTGGAGAGATGGCTCAGTGGTTAAGAGCACTGACTGCTCTTGCAGAGGACTTGAGTTCAATTCCCAGCACCCACATGGCGGCTACGAATCGTCCTTAACTCCAGTTCCAGGGGAATCTGAAGCCCTCTTCTGACCTCCACAGCATTGCACATACATGGCAGGCAATATATTCATACACATAAAAAATAAAATAATAAATAAAATATTTTTTTAAATCCCATTTATCTACGTACCCACAATTCCAATCCAACACCACATGATTCATCCCTCTCCAGCCATCCAGGAATCTTTCAGCATGTGGGAGTCTGTGGATTACTGTGTAGACTAGGGGGTGAGAGAAGCCTCTCGGACCCTGACTTAGGGATTCCGTGGTATCATTTCAGCCCTTCTGGTACATTGAAAATTTGCTTTATGCTTTACTAGCAAATTGTCAGGGGTTTTTTTTTGGTGTTTTTGAGACAGGGTCTTCCTGTAGTCCCAGCTGTCCTGGAACTCACTATGTAGACCAGGCTGGCCTAGAACTCACAGGGATCCACCTGCCTCTGCCTCCCGAGTGCTGGGATTAAAGGCATGCGCCATGACACCCGGCATTGTCAGTTGTTTTTACCAGGATGGCTGGCCAATATAAAATTGTCAGCAACACCCTTTTAAGTTGAAACAAATAATATTTTTATGCATTTGGTGAAAAGGTATTTGGGTAATCCTTTAGGTATTATCTTCTAAATTTTGACTGTATCAGGTTTAGCTGTAGCTGTTCATAAATTTCCAACTCCAGGCACTAAGGAGATGCTTCAGGGGTAAAGCATAAAGACTGGAGTGTAGATCCCAGTAGCCATGTAGATGCTGAGTGCACTTGGAGGCCTGCTTGTAATCCCAGTGCAGAAGGCTGGAACGAGCTGGCTAGCCAGGCTAGCAGAAGCGGTGAGTTCTAGGTTCAACAAGACACCTTACCTTGCCTCAATATACAAGGTGGAGAGAGATCAAGGAAGACACCCAAAGATGGCAGCCTTGGCCCCCACATACACATGCACACATCTGTACTTGCACCTGCAGAAACATGTACCTCTGTATGTATACATACATGTGTATGTACCATACACATGTAAAAAAGTTTCCAATTCCAAATAATCAGTGAACCACCTTCAATATACCTAATAAGCAAAGGATGTGGGAAAAAAGGGTAAACGTAGTGGAAATTCTCATTTTAAAAAGGAGACACATGCAGCTATCATTAACCTATATCAGTGTTTCTCAAACTGATATGCACACGAACCACCTAGAGATCTTGTCACATGCTGTGCCTAATGCAAGACCTGAACTGGGGCTGGGATGTGCATGCCTAACAGGTCAGGTGATGCAATGCTGCCATCTGAGGTTCTGCTGGGAGTTGCAAGAGTTCTAGAGTTTTTTGTCTTTATTCTGGTCAGGGAGATTTTAAAAACTGCTATAGCCGGCAAACCCTGGAGGTGTTTTGAAACTTTATTATTTTTCTTTCATTAGCAAACATACAAATAGAAAGATATCGTGGACCGCAACTGCAAATGGCATTTCCCAGTGTTACAGCGTTCCTTACCTATAAACTTGTTCCTACAGTTTGTTAAAGCAAACCCAGCTGACATTTCAGCATGCACATCTACCAGATAAGGATCGACAAATAGAAAAAAGAATCATAGTGTCAATACCACACAAAATTAACAGTCTATGTAACACAAAAATAGCAGTTCCTTGAAATCACCTCATAGCATACATCAGTACACTCATTTTCCAAACCCCTTCCCAGGCTGTAGTTTCCTGATCCATCCCCCTGGGGTCTGGGACTTCCTCAGAGACTGAGCACACAGGTACAGTCCTCCTAGAATCAAATTTTATGGCTTGCCAATTTCGTTTCTGGGACTGTTAACCAGTAAGCAGTGGCAAAAGGTTTAGAGCCATGCCTTTGAATCAGCTCCATCTCCTTGGGGTCTGCTTGATCCCAGCCTTGGGACTAGGACAGGAAGCAACAGACAGGCTATAAGACCCATCTCTGACCTTGATGCAGTTATGTGAATGGGGCTGCTCCCGGAGAGGCCTGTGGGATCACATTCCCGCTTCAAACTCCTCCGCTTTCCCAGATACTTCCTTCCCCAATGCCGGCACCTCACATTTTGTTGTTTGTTTCTGAGATAGGCTCACTGTGTAGCCCTGCTGGCCTGGAACTCTGTAGACCAGGCTGACCTTGAACTCAAAGATCCACTGGCTTCTGCCTAAATGCTTGGATTAAAGGTGAGTGCCATGATGCCCAACTCTACCTCCTGTTTTCAGTTGGTCTAGTACTTGGCTGTTTGACTTATCAAGATGTGTGGTCCTCTGTCTTTCCAGTCTGAGGTTATAGACACAATGGGCTTCCTTTAATGAAGAGATAGACAGAAGCGTGTTCCGCTCCACAGGTCCCAGGCTTGCCAGGAGTTTGCCTCTATCACAGCCTGTCTGTGAAACCCACAAGATGTAGCCAGCACATTTAGTCTCCACATTGCCCCACCACGTTTCAAGCCTCGGAGTCCTCTCGTCTCAAGAGATGACAGTCAGCTTCCTACCAGCTTCACAACCAAACATCAGGGCTGCTAAGTACTTGACCTGGGGAGAGGGAGCATCCAGCCCTGCGTAGCTAGTACCACATATAGGAGAGCTGTCTGTGTTGTGCTTGGTTCCCAGATTCAAGATTCTGTTAGGGCTCTTCTGGCTGTGTGGGACAGGATTCAAAGTCAAAATCCTTCTACAAAGGGACATTGATAGGAAGGATGTGGGCGTCTCCTCCAGTGACCAGGACTCCTGAATTCCGGAAAAGCAGGAGGGAGATGGGCTTCCTCTCTGGTCTTGCCTCTCCCTGCTCTTCTGGTAGGTTCCTTCTGCCCCCCCGCAGGTCCCTGAGAAGCTAACCACACATTACAAGCTGTCACCTGCTTTCCTTCTCCCACCCATCCGTCAGATACAGTGTGCATGGAGTCATCATGACCTGGTTTCAGATACTGTACCTCCCAGAATTAAGCTTGAGTGAGAAACTGAGCTGGGTCCCTGGGATTTGGTGACTTGGTAGGAGATGTCACAGTGGCGGTGGAGGACGCCAGAGCGAGAGGCCAGGAAAGGACAGCGATAAATACCTCTTTTCCAGGGGAGGGATGGACCTGGAGTCCCGGGAGGAGCTTGGGATGGCAGGTGCCTGAGCATGAGGGCAGGGACCAGCACACTGGATGTGGGGCTGAGGATGAAGACCTGCTGGCCCTGCTGTTGGTCTGGACTGGTCTCCCTCCATTCCCCTAAGGATCCCACCCCTTCTAGAGTCATACCTAGACTTTAAGACCCAAAGCCCTGCCATTGGCTGCACCTCTGGATGAGGCTCGAGCTCTAGCCGGTCTCACTTAGGATTGGGGTGAAAGCTGAGCTGGGGGGCTTCAGACCTTGCTCGGGGAAGTCCTGATCTTCTTCCAGTCCCTCTTTCACCCAGGGAGCCCCTGCAGTGTCCCCTTACTCAGATGTGATCCAGACCCCAACTTCCTTTAGGAAGGCTCCAGGGATAGGAGGTGAGAGGTGGAGGATAGTGGGCAGAGCATGTTACCTGTGGGCAGCTCCCCAGACCAAGGGCTCCCTCACTCTGGGGGCCTGCTCCAGTACTAAACCAGAGCTCAGGGCAGCCTCCAGGAGTGACTCATCTCCCCTCATGAGAGTCCTGGTACTGAACCCTAAGGCTTAGAGAGTTATAAAGCAGAAGCCCCAACTGCTTCCTGCTCTGTCTTGCATGTGCCGCATCAGCCGCATAGGGAACAGACCAGATGACATCATACTTGGGGCTAAATATTCACATCTCTTTCCAAAAGATAGCAAACACACAGTCTAGATGTGGCAGTGGGGGCAGGGCCTGCGCTGGGGACCTGGACATTATACACCCAGGGGGCCCTTGATGGAGGCGGGCAATTTAACAACGGGTCTGCAAGTCAAAAGAGAGAGAGCTGGTTAGTGGGGTGAGCAAAAGTAAGGGGAGACAGGGTTGTGGAGTTCAGGTCCTGGCTGTGCTCTCCCAGCAGCCTGAGACCTATTCCTAGAAGCAGGGGTGACATGGTCTGGCCTAGTACCTATGTGGGCATGTTGGAAGTGCTGGGTGACTATGAGATCCTGAAGCTTCTCTCAGAGAAAGGAGGGCCAAGCCTCTGGGTCTCCCTGAAGTCTGGTGTCCTCACGTGTAATGGGATGGTCTCTAGCCTAGAACTGCTTCTTCCATGAGGTTGCTGTGAGGAACTGTTGGATACAGGAGGGTGAAGGGCTCTCTGGCCCAAAGTACTGTGCACCAAGACCCCTCTGGTTACTGTGAGGGCCTCAGGGCCCAGCACTTAGTAGACACATGCCCCTTCAGTAAATAAGTGGGCAGGTGAAGGAGCAGGTAGCTGAACTAGTGAGGTAGGCCCTGTGTAAGCATGCTGGTACAGACAGGTCGGGCTGGGCCTTGCCTCGGATCTCTCTTTAAGTGTCTGAGTCTGGGTCTCAGACCGCAGGGGTTTAGCCTGTGTCAAGGACCAGATGCTTAGATTTCCAGACTGGAGTTCAGGGGTCATCTGTGTCTCACCGGCTCTGCCCAGGGTGCTGTGGGGGCTGACTGGAGTCCTGGGCAAAGTAGGGGGCTGGGCAAGAGGCCTGGGCAGGGCAGGCAAGCTCAGACGTACTCTCGGGCAGCAGTTGAGGGTCCTGGACGATAGGGCTGTGGGCTGCTGTTGGCTCTCTCAGGCTCTGGGCATGTGCAGCACAGGAAGGAGCCACCCAGCATTGCCAGGCCAGCGGAGGCCCAGCCAACAAAGAGAGCTGGGCCAAATTCATACCTGTAAGAGGTGCAGAAAGTTCTCAGGCTACAGTCCCTACTTGCCTTGTCCTGGCTCTCTCAGAGGGCAGGACATGGGGAGCTTGAGTTCAAAGCTTATAAGCTCTTTTGTCTCTCCTGATGAACTGTGGTGAATGTTTATCCTTTTCCTCCCCACCCAGCACATCAGCACCACACAGGATGACCCAGAGCCAGGGTGGCCAGCTTGGGCTTATTTCCTTATCTGGTTGACAGACAGGCATGGGAGGGCCTCTGAGGTCCAGATAGTACAGTGACACAATCTGCCATCTTCTTTCTCAGTTATCGTCTGGCTTACAGAGCTCTCAGCCGACCCTCCCCATGGCTCTCTAAAAAAGATTTCTCTGGCCTGGGTTCTCCACACCCAGCTCTGCTGGCCAGCCTGGACCTTCCTGGGTCTTCCCATCTCTATACCTCTGCACAAGAGTCCCCCAGCCCTTCCCAAAGGACCTCCCCAGTTCCTTCTCTGCCTTTAGGGCCCAGTTCACATGCAACCTCCTTAGTCGGGGAGGGGGTTCAAGCCTTGTTGCCCCTCTACATGCTAACCCCCTGACCCTTGCCACACCCTCACCGGAAGATCTTTTAGTTCCAGGAGCGCTTGTGGGACAGGCAGAGGCTCATCTGTGTCCTCAGGAAACAGCCGTGGGAGTTATGAAGGGATGAGGGCCTGGTCCCAGCTTGGCTTCTTAGCCTAGACCTTGCCTGGCAGGCCTTGGCTGTTGTAGCTGCCCACCCAGGACACAATTCTCTTGTGTGAATCCTCCTCTGTCTATTCCATGTGCCTTCTCATTGAAACAACCCAGGTACGTTTTCCTATCCTCTTTGCATCAGGTCCCTCAGTATATCAGGAGACAGCCCCATTCTTTGCTGAGCCAAGAGAAGGGAAGAGCCAGTAGGCTTGGCCTGTCCAGAAACTTCTATCTATCCCCCACACCCTTGACTTTACAAATTCTGACCCCTCTAGCTCCCCAGTACCTGAGCCTGCTTTCTGTAGCTGCCTCCCTCATGTAGAGCCCTCTGCTGGAGACCTTTGCAACTGCCCTGATGCGTTTGCCTCCTCCTGCACACACAGCCCAGGGCTGCTGCAGCCCTCTTCCAGGATGAGGGGCAAATTCTCCTGAGTTGCTGGGCCTTACCTTAGCCACCCATTTTCTCAAGTCTCATCTTACTGCCCCCTGCCTCCTGCAGAAAGCTACCTGCAAAAGCAGCTTAGGTGGACTGAGCACCCCACCAGGTCAGGCCTGGTCTAAATCCCTTTCCTTGTCGCCTCTTGGACCCCCACAACCACAGGGGAGCTAGTCCTCAGGAGGTTCTAGCATGGAAAGATTAAGGTTTGGGGTTTGTTGTTGTTGTTTTTTATTTATTTATTTATTATTTATTTATTTTTTGGTCTTTTTGAGACAGGGTCTCTCTGTAGCCCCAGCTGTCCTAGAACTCACTATGTAGACCAGGCTGGCCTTGAACTCCCAGAGATCCACCTGCCTCTGCCTCCAGAGTGCTGGGATTAAAAGCATGCACCACCACGCCCGGCTGTTTTTGATCTTTTTGAGATAGGGTTTCCTTGTAGCCCCAGCTGGCCTGGAACTCACTACGTAGACCACGCTTGCATTGAACTTGAAGAGCTCTGCCTGCCTCTGCCTCCCAAGTGCTGGGATTAAAGGTGTGCACCACCACACCCGGCTTATGGAAAGATTAAATTACAGGCTATCCAGGTTACTGGGTTTCATGGAGACCTGGACCTCAAACCCAGAGCCAGGGCATTAAGCTTCTCACAGAAACTTCTGTAGCTGGGTCATTCAGCAGGATTCCTGTCCCTACCAAGGGCATGGCCACACTCCGTCTGGCTCCCCATTCTCAGACATCATCTGGGGCCTATTTTCCCTTCCAGCTGACCACTGGACCCCAGAGGAGGCCCAGCCCTGGCACTCACCTGGCATTGACAGGTGTGCTGGGGTTGAAGAACTCCTGGGTCACCAGGGTAGCATACCATGAGACAGCAGTCAGAGTGCAGAGGCCTAGGGACCAAGTAGGGGGTGCTCAGCTCTACCTGCCCCAGCCAGCCACCAGAGATGGGCCAACATCATGGCCAAGAGGGTAGAGGAAACCGGGCACTCACCAGCCAAGAGGAAAAGCGCACCCCCAGAGATGGCCACGCGGTCCTTGGTGATGGGGTTGCTGTCTCCAACTCTCGTACACTTCATGCCCACAACGCTGAGCACCATGGCCACGAAGCCCAGGAGCACAGCCACCACCATCAGGGCTCGTGCTGATTGGATGTGACCTGGGGCGAGGGTGGGAAGGTACTGAGCAGGAGTCAGGGACTGGGGTACTGGGCAGTAGTGGAGGGGCTTGAGTGGGAGCCTAGGGGAGGCCTGACCACCTGCCTTCCTGTGAGAGTGTGAGAACAGGGTGCAGGGGTGTGAGGGCCTCTTCACCACTGACCCTGCTTCGCACCGTCCTTGGCAGGCTCCTTGAATGGTGCCTGGTGATGGGATCAGGCCACTTGAATTTTTTTTTTTTCTGCTTTCTTTCAGGCCTGGTCTACCTGCGAGCAGCAGAAGATAGGGCAGGGTGCTGCTCAGGATTGGCAAAGAAATAGCTGAGGGTGTGTGAGGCCCAGCTTGGTCCCCAGCAGCAACACTGTCAATCACCCATGGCAGCGGTGTGCTTGCTTCTATATGAATGTGCAGGTCAGTCCTTGGCTCCAGACAGCTCAGGAGACTTAGGTACCAGGGAGAGGCCAGTGACCTGCCTGGTCCAGTGTGCAGTGGGGCTGGCTGGTGGCAGCTCCGCTCAGGTGCTTGCAGAGCTCTGGGCAGAGGACAAACGGGCAGGTCCCACCAAGGTCAGAGCATAATGGTGTCTGCCTGTGAGCTGACCTGACAGTTGAAACCCCACACTTCAGTAGCAGGAGGCTGTGTGTGTGTGTGTGTGTGTGTGTGTGTGTGTGTGTGTGTGTATGGGTGTGGTCTAGTGCGTGTATGTGTGTGTGCATGTGTTCCAGTGCTTGTGTGTGCAGCTGTGTGAGGCCTGTTCATCTGGGTGGGAGGACTGGGAATAGGTGTGTGTATATGTGTTGGTCAGTATAGAATCTGGAGACAAGAGCAGCAAAGGGTGTTAATAGGCTTTTGGAGTGTCAGAACTTCTTCCTCTCACACCACCCTCCTCTGTGAGAACCATCAGAGAACAAAACGTTAGGTGACTGGCAAAGCTTCCGGTGCAGGAATAGGGAGCTAGACCCCAGGCTGCCAGCTCCTTGTGCTCCTGCCTCCTGAGAGGCTCAGCTGCCCCGACCCTCCCATGTGCACAGAGAATCACACAAGGGTTGGAGTGTGGGGTCCAGCGCTGAATACAAAGCTGTGGGAAAGCCTGCCCTAGACCTCCCCAACCTCCCTCCCACACCTGCCTGAGGCCTACCGTCCAGGGCCAGAAGCGAGTCATAGAGTTTGCACTGCACCTGACCCGTGCTCTGGGAGGCACAAGACATCCACAGCCCTTCGTAGAGGCCCACTGCGGTGATGATGGCATCGCCTGCGTAGGAGGACTGCTTCCACTGCGGCAGGGCCGTGCTGGCGATGATGCCCACCCAGCCACCTAGGGCCAGGAAGTAGCCCAGGAGCTGGAGGCCTGAGTTGGCCATGGCCCAGGGAAGAGACCGAGGGTCCCAGGGCTCAGAGCTGGGTCAGGGTCTTGGGGAGTGCTGTGGTCATCATGAGAGGAACGGCTGGAACAGGGCAGCCGAGTGCCACTGGAGGTGACTAGACGGAGGAGACTGGACGGCAGTACGGCAGAATCAGCAGCAGCAAAGGCAGTGGCTCTGATTCTAGAATGCAGGGGGCGGCCCAGGGGCTGGAAAAGGCCAAAGGCCCGCCCACAGCCACCGCCCCAGCCTCCACAGGGTCCCCAGCAGCGCTCAAAAGCCCAGCCCCCTGGGGGTGGTGGGAGGGGCCTAGGGCCCAGGGTTGGTACCTTTGCCCCATGCCACCCACCCCAAAAGTAAGGAAGGGAGAAGAGACCATTCCTCTCTGAAGGCCTTGCCACCCAGGGCTACCCCTTCAGGAGTAGGATTCCAGTGCCCTGGGATTCTCTTAACCCTTGCTACTCTAAGAACTGACTTGGGCTAGCGGGGCTGATCTGACTTGGGGTTTACTGCTGGCTGACTTCAGGGATTCCAGCTGCAGCAGGCAAAACTAGAATTAGATGCCCCCAGGCTTTTTGTTTTGTTTTTTCCCATTTTGTTTTTCGTTTTGGTGCTGGGGATTGAACCCAGGGCCTTGCTAGGCAGGCACTCTACCACTGAGCTATTCTCTAGGATTAAGTTTTGTTTTGTTTGTTTATTTTTGGCAAGGGCTCTGAGGCCAGATGTGGAGACACTAGCCTGGATGTGGGGTGTTAGGGAGTCCTGGGTACCAGAGAGCCGTATTAGAAGTAGGGAGGCCAGCCAGGAAATATGCACTGTGGGAGCTGTTGGGATCTGAGGAGTCAGAAGCAGGGCCCCATGGTTACTGGGCCAGAGGTGGCTTCAGGCCAGCTCTGACTTGGTGGGGAGCTGGGGAGACCTACACCAGCCTCTGTCGTGGGCCTGAAGGAAGGAGGGTTGCTCAGACAGTTAATCCCCTTGCTGGCTGGTTCAGCAGCTCCTGCTGGGACCTGGGACAGCAGGCCCCGGCCCCCAGCTTCAGAACAGCCCAGCAGTGGCCTCTGCACATTCCTGGGGTTCGGGCTGCCCCCTCCCAGATTCCCGCCTGCCCCTTCTCTCTCAGCCCTCAGGAGCAGGGAATGTTTAACTCCCCTGGGTCTCATTAGCAATCCTCTCACGTTCATTTCAGCTCTGCAGGCTTGGCATTGGTGCAGGAGAAATGTCACACCCCTACTCCCTCTCCGCCAGCCTCCCACCCACCCCTCTTGCATCCCCAGCATCCCTCTGCCTTTCCTGGGCTGCACTGTGGAAAGGTAGGGACCTGGTTCCACTGCAACGCAGCCAGCACCCTCCTCCACAGCCCCAGCACCCCCCTCCACAGGGACAAGCCCCCAGCTTGCCCCTTGCATTCTTCACATGGCTATGCAAATGAGAGGGTGCCTGGCACTGTCAGACAATGATAACCCTGTGTTCCCGCCCAGGGCGTGGGCCCCTGGTATGACCTACACCTCCAGCCCAAAGCTGGGAGAGCAGGGCCAGGGCTGAGTGCTGTTAGGCTGGCAGTGCCACACACTGGGGCTCTCTCATTTCCTCTGTGCTGCAAAGGTCAGAGCCACGTGTTTCTTGGGATGGCCTGCCAGTCTCAAAATGCTAATGGAGTCCAGAACAATGTCAGAGAAGATGATTCTGAGTTCAAATTCTGCCACGGATGATGACAAGACAGTAGGATCAATGGGAACAGAGGAGGTTGCTGGAACCCTGAGTAGAGAAGGAAATACAGGCAAAAGACCCCTGGGGGTGACAGTCAGATCCTGCCCACTAATTTCTCTAACCTTAAGGCAGTCTTTCCTTGGTAGGTAGGCCCTGAAGAAGTAAATGGGAGACAGAGGCAGGTTAGAGGATGTGTGTGGTTCCCATGGTCCTTCCCCCATGCCCTTGTCTGTATGCCTTTTGGAGGGAGGCATCTGGTGCATGTGGGAAGGGGAGGTGGACAGTTATAAGATGCTCCCTACAGCCGGGGATGGCGGCGCATGCCTTTAATCCCAGCACTCAGAAGGCAGAGACAAGCAGATCTCTGAGTTCAAAGCCAGCCTGGTCTACATAGTGAGTTCCAGGCCAGCTAGGGCTACAGAGAGACAGAGAGACCCTGTCTCAAAAAGACAAAAAAAAAATGTTCCCTACAAATGAGATGACTATGGAACATCAGCATCCTCATTTCTAAAGTGACACTGCTTCAGTGAACTGGGATGGAGTTTGTGTAAGATTAGTGATATTGAGGGGGGCTGGGGTTCTGCACTGACAGTTGCTTAGCACAGCCTATTTCAAAATCAAGGTGAGGCCCTTCTCTTCCAAAGCTGGGCCTTAGCTTCCTGCAAAGCCTTCTCTCTGAGGAAAGGTGAGGGCTCATTCTGGAACCTACTCAGGTAGCTGAGTCCTGGAACCTCAAGGGCATACACAGTGTCAGAGCCACTCAGCCTTCAAAGATCACTAGCTGTGACCTGTCTGATGCCTGAGAGAGTAGAGAGGCAGAGGGGATGACAGTAGCTGTCTACAGGGCTAAAGCCTTCCCAGCTGTGAAGCCCCAGGGGCAGCAGGATACCTGTCTGCTCCTCCATTTTGAGCATCCCTTCATCCCCCATGCTAGGGATCCAAAGCTTCTGCAATGTTCACATCTTCTGAAGTGCTTCCAGTTGCCTTCCATCTGTTATTTGAGGATTTGAGTCTGTTCTACCTTAATACCCTTTTCTTCACCAACAGCATCCCTCACCAGTGTTCCAAAGCCTTCTGAAGTTCAGGACCTGCTTTTGAAGAAAAGCTCCCTAACCCAGCATAACTTCTCCACCTTCCAGCAGCCCAGTAACTGTCAGGCATGCAACTCAGGGTCCCACCCCAGCCTCCCACCAGAGTTTCCCCGGAACTGCCTGGGAGGGGGCACATCACAGGTTTTTTTGTTTTTTTAAGTGCTTTCATTTACATTTAAAGAAGCCCAGGAGCTAGCTTTTAAGCCACTGGAAAGCCCTGTAACATGAGACAAGTCCTCAGCTTCTCTTGGTCTGATTCCTCACCTGAAAAAAGGGGTAATAACACATGCCCGGTCTGGCTTATATGAGAGGTTTTAGAAGGATCATAAATTGCCAGAACTGTGGCTGGTCAAAGTTGTCCCCAAGATATTGACTCTGTGATGGGCCTTCCCTGGTGCTGCCTCATTCTGGCATGGCAGACTGTCTGAGGCTAGGGACCTACTGCAACTTTCTTCACCACAATGCCTGGCCCAGGGCAGCCTTGGTAGGTACGTGTTGATCATTGACCGGTTGGTATGAGGATTAAGTGTTTTTGCTTCTCTCCTAATGAAAAACTAGGGACCATTCCACCATCCTTTCTCATGGCTGGTTAAGAGAGTCTGATTCAGCTCCTTGTAATCCAGTGCTTTGGGAAACTGAAGACTCAGAAATGGTACCAGCCTTGCCATCTCCAACTCAGTCAAATTTCCTGCACAACAGGCTTAGAACAGAAGTGAGGTGCCTTAGATCACACGGCAAGAAGCAGTGCAGCCAAACAGTGTGGCTGCAGCCCAGCTGTTCTGCTTGCCCAGGCACAGTTGGGCCACCAATCTGGAATCCCATAATCCTCTGCATGTCACCATCCACTGCAGTTGATGCACTGCCTCCTTCCTGAGGTCAATAAGCACCTTGAGGCTATGTGAAGAGTCTGGCTCTCTAACCCAAGCAAGGACACCTTGTAGTGCATGGCACAGTCCTGTGGCCTCTTTGCTCCTTTGGGAAGAGTACTGCACACTGGTGTCTGTTGCCCTTCCAAGAGCTCTGCAGCCGCCCTGGGCACCAGTGTCTGTCATGTTCACATCTCTCGGTTTGCTGAGGTGCCTCATAGACCTAACACTCCCGTGGGCTGTCTCCCTTCATCCCAAGCAGGTTTCCTCCTATTGCTGACTTGCCTTTCCACATGTTTTCCTAAGCATGGACTAAGCAATCACAGTGGTTTCTTGGCTGGGACCCATTATTTCCAGATGAATCACCCTGGTCTTATTATATTGGTCCTATCCACTGAACACATCTTGCCTTTTGTGATCTCAATAGAGACAGTTTTCTGTCTGTATATGGTTAACCTATGTTGAAATTGTAAATGACGTCTGCCTTGATATGGAAACTTCTGGAAAACCAGGAGCATTCTCTTGTGAGTATCCTCCTCCTTCTTGGGCTCAGCACCCAGATAATCCCTCTGTTCTGGTGAGGAAGCACAGGCAGGGGCTGCACAACTTGGTCATACCTCCCAGTGGGGATGTGTCAGCTCGTGTACAGATAAGGTTTAAGCACCTTTCTTACTCCTCTGTATGACAAGTGCATCACCCAGGTAGGACAGAAGGGACCGTCAATTGCCGAGCCTCCGCCCCACCAGCAAGGCAGGACGTGGAGCTCAGCGATGGGGACCGAGGAGGGGTAAGTGTGCTGTCCGCCTGTTTCACCAGCCCTCCTCACGGAGGACAATCAGACGCGACAGGGAGTCTTGTCAAGCAGGAACTCATTTATTGCAGGTGTCACAAAGCTTATATAGGCAAAAACTGCAGTTTGGAAATCCCCTCTGAAACCCCCTCCCCTGAATGCACCCAATCATCTTAAAGGTCAACCTGCCACATGGGCAGGGTCCCATAAGCGTCCACGTTGATCACGCGCTGGTCACACACCACCCAGGGCTGCGGAAGGACCGGCATCCAAGCCGATGATCTTCAGGACAGGTCAGGCCACACCCTGCTTACTTCCTCTAGGTGCCATCCTGGCAAGGCGGGGCCTTTAGGTCCCCACATCTCCTTTTTCTTTTCTTTAACAGGCTAATCACGGCCTACCCATCAGGCGATGCCCTATGGATAGGTGGCTGGCCCCTTTCCATGTGCTGAGCATCCCAGCTTGTCTTAGGTTGTCTCTTTCCTGACTAAGCCTTGCCCATCATTGGTCAGTGCACCTGGCCATGTGCACTTCCTGTCTTAGGAGTACCTGCCAGAAGGAGATCTTACCCGTCATTGGCATGGGATGCTTAGATCTTAGGCAAGGGCCATCGTATGGGAGGTGCCAGTCCGTGACAAAAAGGAAAGGAGGAGAAGGAAGGGGCTGACGTATGGCC